CACCCACAGATTAGATATCTCATGAACTGGAAAAAAGGAGTTAGAGGAGAATTGGCAAGCTTACAGTCCAGTCTTTTTGTGGATCTCTGAGACCAAACAGGGTGGAGTAGGGCTGATTTATATGAGCCCACATCCCTCAGGGTAGCTGCAGAGCCAACTCAAAGGCTGGAGTTGCCAAAACGTCTTTGATATACTATAGAGGAAAGTATGCCAAAGCTTATGGAGCTAAATGTTGGAGTCGATTTATGATAAATGTCCTGCTTGCTCACCCACTAAATTCGTTAACCAGGAGGCCCCAGACAACTCTTCACCAGGCCTTAGAGAAGTGTTAATGAGAGGAGCATGGGGTCTCAGGGCCCACGATGGCTGTTCTCTGTAGATCAGCAGTGGTGACGGGAGACATTGCCTCTGGCATGACTACTGAGTAGAATGGATGAGCACGGAGAAAGAGAAGGACCAATTTCCTTGGACCAGAGATAGGGAGGGGCTTCCTAGACATTAGAATTTGCTGACACTAATTCCCAGAGGTTGAAAAGGCTCCTGTGTGCAAAATGGAGCTATCTTAATGATCTGTTCTTCAGAGGGTTTCTTTGTGTTGTAGTTGACTTGATGGCACTCAACAACAGTCACAATATAGTAAGATAATAAATTTTTAAGGTCATCTATTTGTAATATCTCTGTTATGGAAGCACAAAACAACTAAAAAAGTAAATATTCTTCTAAAAAAACCCACAACCCAACAAAAAAAGGCTCCTGTGGTCTAATAAAAGACGTTGCTAAGTAGAAGGACATGGGATGAAGTTTCTGTTTGATTCTTCTCAAGCTAAACATGGTTGACAGAGTGGGTGTGGATGGTAAGGTAACACGGGTAGATTGCTGGATCGCATGGTATATTTAAGTCTGGAAATTGTATTTCCCTCAGTCCATGTCCCTGTATGGCTCTGAGCTGAAGTTAGCTGACAGAGGAACCTCATGAGAGATTTGGAAGCTGGAAGGGAAGAAGACATACACTCTGAGATGGCTTTGTGGTCTAATGGAATAACAGACACAGAGGCACCTGTCAGGGCCCAGACGCAGTATGACTTCCCAGCTCCTGGACCTGACAACCAACAGTGACCCCAAGCCAATCATCAAACACTTGGCTACTCTGAAGAGGTCCCTTCAGATTCTTCCGTGTGCTCCCATCTCAGGAACCAGACGTGCACAGCTTCTAGAATTTTCCTTGAAGCCCACCCACACCAGTGCTTCACATCGTTATGATAGTTTCTAGGATCCTCTGACTCCTTCCTTCCAGACTTAGCTCCCCTTCCGCTCATCCACGCCACCCCCCATTTTGCCTTTAGTAGCCCGGCTTTTCTGACTGAACCTGCTGGTATAGACAGGTCTTCTGTTGACTTGTAGATGCTGGTGGTCCTACCTTAGACCAGCAAGGACTCTTCCACATTGACTCCTGATCTCTGGACACCGTGGCAGCTGTCATGAATTATTTCTAAATACCGTTGCTTTATTCTCTCTAGAGTCCAAGTCCCACGGCTTGCTTTCACACTCTAGTCTGGTCACTGCTTTTGTGTTACTACTTCTAGAGATAGACCTTCCCTGGCTTCTTGTTGCTAGGTGCCATCGAGTCGAGTGTGACCCACAGCGACCCTGTGAATAACAGATCTGAATGCTGTCCCCTCATCACCTCTGACACGCTTGAGCCCATTGCTGCAGCCCATTCCCTGGCCATCATCTCTAAGATAATAGCCGTCTCTGTCCCTTTTCTCTATTTAATGCTCAATTATAGTACTGGTAGAGTACCTACCTTGCTGTGCGCTGTGATGCTGGAACCAACCCATAGCTGACCCTGTGCAGGTTTTCAGAGGCAGAAAATCGCACAGGAGGAGATTATCCCTCCTTCTCTCATGGAGCAGCTGGTTGAACAGCAACAACAAATATTGGTGCCTGACACATACTTCATTTTATTGCTAATCTCCTCTTAGAATGTGTGTTCCTTGAAGGTATGACCTTTACCTTGATCTTAGTTGTTTTCTTAGGATTCTGATCAGGGTATGCAAATATTCAGTAAATAATTTTTTTTAATTGTGTTTCATCCGTGTACATTTTTTTTCTGTCTCCTTCCTCCACCCATCAAACTCTGTGACCTCATGATTTCCCCCTCCCTCCCCTCGGCCCCTCTGTTTCCTCTTCTTCCCTTTTTGGATATCCATATACATCTTAATGGCTCTCCCTCTGTTTTTACAATATTGGTCTTATACAATATTTGCACCCGAGTTAGTTCACTCAGTATAATGCTCTCTAGCCTCTCCCATGTTATATAGTATTTTTCAAAACTGTTGCTCTTGGTAGCTGCATACTATTCCATCATGTGAATGTACCACAGTTTTTCAGTCCAGTCATTTGTTGATGAACATTTGGCCTGTTTCCATGTTCTTGCTGTTGTGAATAATGTTGCTATGAACATCAGTGTACAAATCTCTTTTTATGCCTCAGTTCTATTTTTCTTAGTTGTCATATAGCTGGGTCATATGGAATCTCTATGTTCAGCGTCTTGAGGGTACACCAAACTGCCCTCCAGAGTGGTTGTACCTTTTTCCAGTCCTACCAACAGTGTATGAGACTTCCAATCTCTCCACATTCTCGCCAACCTTTATTGCTTTCTGTCCTGTTGAACTTTTCCACCACTATTGAAGTGAGAAGATATCACATTGGGGTTTTGATTGGCATCTCTCTTACTGCCAATGGTTTTGAAATATTTTTGTTTTAAATGGATGAATAGAAGTCCTAGTTGGGAATGACTCAGGGATGTTCTTTAGTCCCAAGTTGAGGTGTGGTTGTCAAGGACAGAGAGAGAAATAGATCCTCATACTGGGATGGAAGCAAAAACCTACCCAGGTACCTTGCGCATGGGCGTGGATAGTTGTATAGGAAGGGCATACATTTGTTTCTGAGTTTTCTGACAGTCGGCATAGATAGTTGTATAAGGTAGGGCATACGTTTGTTTCCGAGTTTTCTGGCAGTCAAAGCGAGGAGAGAAAAACAGTAAGACTCAAGTTGTCTGCACACAGTTGTAGAGAACAGCTAGTCTCTATTGTAGAGTATGTTCTTTTTCTTGGTGCTGAGAGTTCACAAGGAGCTCTTTGTGTGATGTGGTGGATAACGTCCTCACCTAAATCTCTTCAATAAGCAAAAGTTCCCTTACAATGCTTCTGAGTGTCAGCTAATCACATTCTCAAAGAGCAATTTTGTGAAGGTGACTTATTTCAATGTACCTTTTTGATTGCCATCAAGTTTGAACATTTTGCATGTTTATGGCTAATTTGTATTTGTGTGTCTGCGTTTGTGATGTCTGTGCGTGTATGTGTATTTGCCATGTCTTTTACTTGTTTGTTTGTTGATATCTTATTGTTTTTATTCTCCATTTAATTGTTGTTGTTACAGGCCACTGAGTCAGAACTTGAAGCAGTAAATTGCAAGGGAGGAGATTGCCCGTATTTTTCCCATGGATTTGAGCCACTCGTTTTGGGGTTGGCAGTGCTACTCCTTACCACAAAGCCATCAGAACTCCCTCAGTTTCATTGAATAATCCTCAGTTGGTGATGGAATGTTAATTAGCTATCATGTTTGTTAAAAAGACATTTTCTAATTAAGTCCCATAAAGTGCATTTGTATCTTTTCTTGAATCAGCCCAAATAATACCAAATTAGAATATATTGAGTGGAATTGGTTGAGTGGAATCCAACTTAAGAATTTATTATATATCAATCAAGTTGGACCACAAGATTATCCCAGTTAGAAATGGAGGGTGAGTAGAATCCAGGAATAGCCCTGAGGAGCCTCTGCATTTACCGAAGCCCGTCGGTGGTGCCTTGGGACTATGGCAAAATGTTTTTATTTTAATAAAAAAAGAAAACCCCTCATTCCAAAAGGAATTGGCAGCAGTCAAAATGAGCTACTTAGAAATGAAATGAGGAATGATGGATGGTGGCCTGGAGAGATTTTCAAACAGCTATTTGAAATCCTCTGGAAAAATTATTCTGGGAGAAATACTCTGGAAAAATATGTGCTTTTACACATTTTGCAAAGAAAGCAGTCTTCAGTATGTTTCAATTTATGCATGAATATATACTCACTTCATACAAAATGGAAAAAAACCCCAAACCTGGTGGAAAATTTCATGTCCAAGAAAAGCTGCTTTGATTCTGTTGACGCTGCTTCTCATTCTTATAGGATGCTATTCGGGAGAGGCTGTGGGGCACTCATATTTCAATACATCTGACAGGAGGTACTCAATACTGTGAATTATCAGGATATCACTAGAGAATGGTCAGGAGCATCTCCTGAAAACCTTCACCAGCAGCTTGGGGTCCACAGCGATAATGCTTATTTCTTTCTAAGAAAGGAAAAACTCTAGCCAACACCATTTCCTCCCCTCTTTGACTAAGAGGACCACAAGATTAAGGAGACAGACAGATGGACAGAGACAAATGAGAGAGAGTGGGGAAATAGTGTTGAGGACAGAATTGTAAATAGTTCAGAATATGACCTTTGAAAGATTGCCTTCAATATTTTGGTTGTAAGGATGGGTTTGGGAATCAGACTCTTTGGGTCCCATTTTGGCCTTGCCATATCTGTGCCCCATGACCTTAGACATTACTTAGCTTCTCTCAGCCTCAGTCCTTCATCTGTAAAAGGAAAGATAGCAACAGAATCTCATAAGGTTAAGAAGATGCAATGAGATAATGTGTGGTAACACACAGTGCCTGGACCATCCTAGGTGCTTAGACAGGTCATTGACGACAAAGTCACCAACAGTGAAATGCACAATGTTGATAATGAATATTGTCATGAATATTCTTATGAATTCCGAAGAAAAAGATGAATTTCTTTTTAATCTTAGGTGACCTACCAGGCTAGGAAATGAGACAAGTGATTTTCCACACGGCTTTATCTTTTCACACACTGAGTTAAAATAGACTGCGCTTCTCTCAAGAGATGTCCTAGGTGAAGGCCATCGGAGAGGAGCAGGAAGAGTTGGCACCCACGTCTGACATGGGTTTTTCCTCAAAGACCCTTTGCAGGGCTTCTTTTAGTGACTTTCTGCTTTTCTTTCTCCTAATACTGCCCACCACGAAATAGACAATTGGGTTGACACTGCAATTGATAGTAGACAACATATTCAGATGAGGATAGAAGTGCCATACGGAGGCGTCATGGCCATAGTACGCCAGGATGAGCAGGACCTTGGTGGGCAGGGCAAAGACCAGGAACAGCACCACCGTGGCCGTAATAATGACATAGAGTTTGACGGGCTGACGTGGCTTCCGGTTACAGCTGACTTTGATGAAGAGAATCAGACTGGAGCCCACCATGAGAGGAACAAAGACCAAGGTCAAGATGCAGGAAAATATGTACACAAACCGACATTCGGGGAATTTAGGCTGTTCTTGCAGAATGCAGAAGAAGTTCTCCAACCCAGACACGAGGAAAGAAAGCGCCCACAGCAGGGTGCAGGCCACAGCCGACTGGTGCTTTGGGCGTTGGCAGTGGTACCAGAAGGGAAAAAGCACCAGAAGGCACCGTTCCACGCTGATGGCTGTGAGGAGGTAGAGACCCGTGTTGTAGCCAAAAATCACCAGGTACATGAAGTAGTGCAATTGAGTATAGTTCTCAGAGTGGCTGTAAGTGATGCTCATGAGCTGCAAGACAGACGTGCAGAGGAGGACCAAGAAATCGGCAATGGCGAGGTGCAGGATGTAGACCGTGAAAGGCTTCCTCTTGATGTGGAAGACGAGGAACAGTATCACCAGCCCGTTCCCGGACACTCCCAGCGCACAGATGAGGAGGGTAACATAGACCTGACCGAAGGCTGGCTTGGGATCGAGAGGCGGCTGGGTGCTGTGCTGTGGTGACCACGGTCCTTGGCCCAACAAGGACTCATTTCTGGTATGGAGCATGGTGGCCAGCGGATTCCGGGGGGTTGTCGACAGCTCCATTCTTGGGAAATCACCCATCTCCTCGTGGATACCTGTTGTCAGAAATGGAAGATGGAGTTCAGGGGCGCTGTGACGGGAGTCACTGCTCAGGCCTTCTTGAAAGGCCAGAACTCATTTTCTAGAGATTTACCTGGTTTCCCAGGGTATAGGATGGGCTCTCAGTTAACTTTCTTGTAGCTGGTGTAGACAACTGACTCTCTCTGTTGGGATTACTGTTGGAGTGTGTGAAAGGGGGCGAAGGCTTCAGTCAGGGTCTTTCCTTCCTGCCTCGGCTTCTCCCCAGCTGGCTGACTTCTCTGCCTTCCGTCCTTGGGCCCAGGGATTGGTCTCTGCTTTCCCTTGTCACAGGCAGGGGATACTGAGTACCTTTCACTCACATCCCCCTGCAGAGAAAGAAGGCTGTCTGTGGGCTCACCCAGCCTCAGGAGAGCAGGCCCAGGAACTGCTGAGCACTTCCTAAAGGCTGACAAGACACAGCTCCATGGGGATCATTTCCAGAAGTCATGGATCTTCACAGACACACTCACGCTGGCTCTGGCCCTTCCCTCACTCACTCCCGCTCGCTCCTGGCCCGGCCTCAATCTTCCTCTCTTCCTCCTAACAAACCACAAACCTCCCAGCCTGCAGGAGCCGTGACTCTAACTTCTTTAGATCTTTGAAAGAAAACGTTCAACTTTGATGGATTATAAAAGTCATACAAATTCATTTTGCAAACTCCTGACAATGCAGAAGAAAGAAAGAAAAGGGGAGGGGGGAACCACCCCAAAACAGCTCTCAACTACCAGGGCAAATAGGCACAGAACGTGGAACAATTTCCAAAAGGAGGAACAGAGACCACCAATGAGCATATGAAAACGACCCAGGTCCGTGCCACTCCCGCCTCCTCCCTCCAGCACCATCCAAAGATAACTTGTGTTTCTATGTAGACTTAGTTCCTGGAATCTGTAACAGAAGCATTTTTGTTTCTGCCCTTCTAACTTAGGTTTGAATTTTACTGTTATTAAAAAAAATTCTTAAAAATATGAGCATTGTAAACTACCTAATATGCTGTTTTATCTTTTGGTTATTCTTTATTTTACTTTTTTTTGTTGTTAAGTGCCTGCTTTTTAAGAATTTCCATGAAAAGCAAGCGGCGAGCACCCCCTTGCATACACATTTCTCCCTGTGTCTCTGAAGGCTTTCTTAGGTGATGGCAGGTATAATGACTTGTAGGGTGGTGAGGATGGTTTAAGAGCTCAGATACTAAATGAAAGGTTAGAGGTTTGAGGCCTCCCGGAGGGACCTGAGGAGAAAAGCCTAGGGACCTGTTTCTTTTTGGTTTTTGGAGGCTGTGAGTCATGTGGGAGGAGTCTGTCCACCTGCCTCCCTTGCAGCTTCTGGTGGGCTCCAGTCTCTGGGCTGATAGCACAGCTGCCTGTGGCCTACACCACCAGAGCTCTGAAAAATGTTGTTTGAAAGCCATTGATCAATTCTAATTAACTTGTAAAACATTATATATATTATACACATACATATACACACGTGCGCGTGTGTGCGCACACACACACACACACACACACACACACGACTCGACTGCACTTAACAACACCACCACCACCAACAGCATAAGAGAGAGAGCAGTTGGCCTAACGGACAGAAAGCCATGCTCTCAAGCCAAAGGTGGGTGACTCCACTCCGCGGCCCTCAGGCCTGCCTTTAATTGTGTTTGGTGAAACATTCTCCTAGGTCGTGTAACCCTGCTATGTCCACTTTCTGTATAGAGGTCACTCATGGTCTCTATGAAGCCGACCACTGTGACACTGATGAGTCAAATGCGAGAATGGTTACCCATGGTGGACAGTGTTTGGTGGTGCTCCCTGATTAAAACAAGCTTGGAAGCAGGAGTGGCATCCACGTCCACAATTGCTTGCTTTGGGAAACCCTATGAACCTGGAGAAAGGACGAAAATTATACAGGAGGTGTCCAGGACTTTCATTCATGGGGTCGCTATGAGTTGCCTGTGACTCGACAGCACTTAACAACAACAACAAATTATATATATACACATACATACATATAAAATAAATATATCTCTATCTCTCTATCTCTATCTATCTATCTAGCTAGCTAGCTAGCTAGCTATCCGGAGCAGATTATCCGGGAGGCTGGGCTCTACGAGGAGAATTGTGGCGTCAGGATTGGTGGAAGATCTATCAACAATCTGCGTTATGCAGATGACACAACCCTGCTTGCTGAAACTGAGGAGGACCTGAAACGCTTGCTGCAGAGGGTCAAGGACTGCAGCCTACAATATGGATTGAGGCTCAATGTCAAGAAGACAAAGATTCTCACCACTGGACCAATTGGCAGCATCAGGATGAATGGTGAAGAGATTGAGATTGTTCACAGCTTCAGTTTGCTCGACTCCACGGTCAACACTCTTGGCACCAGCAGCCAGGAAATAAAAAAAGTATTGCGATGGGAAAGTCTGCCGTTAGGGACCTCTCTAAAGTACTCAAGAGCAATAGTGTCACTCTGGAGACTAACGTGCACCTGATACAGGCCATGGTCTTTGCAATCACTTGTTATGCATCAGAGAGTTGGACAATGACTAGGAAGGACAGAAGGAGAATTGATGCCTTTGAGCTGTGGTGCTGGAGAAGAGTATTGAATGTACCCTGGACTGCCAAGAAAACAAACAGATTCATCCTGGAGAGGGTTAAACCAAGCTACTCCTTGGAGGCAGGGATTCTGGGGCTTCGTCTGACATACTTTGGGCATGTTGCAAGGGGGGACAGGTCCTTGGAGAGGGACATCATGCTTGGGAGGGTGGAGGGACGGTGCAAGAGGGGAAGACCCTCTATGAGATGGATTGATTCAGTGACTGGGGTAATCGGAATGGGGGTGTCAGAGGCAGTGCGATTGGCACAGGATAGAGCAGGGTTTAGGGCTGTTGTACATAGGGTTGCTATGAGTCGCAAATGACTCAATGGCACATAACAACAACAACAACAATATATATATAAAAGATTGATTGATATGCCATGGGGAAAATGTGTTTGTTGCTGTTGTAATGGGCCATTGAGGGCCAGGGAACACAGCATGGTTTCAAATCAGGAAAGGTGTGTGTCAGGGTTGTATCCTCTCTGTATTCTGCATTGAGTACTTAATCTGGATGCTGAGAAAACCATCCTAGTGCTCTGCAGAAGTCAGCCACGGAGAACTCTGCGCACACAGTCAGGCTCTGACGCCGTGTGACCACAGCGAGTTGGAGTCCACTCAGTGGTAGGAGGTTTACAACCTCAGGAGTCCAAGAGTTTGAGACAGAGGAACAGCAGCGGGGAGCTCAGGTCGTGGGGTTTGAAATCTGATTTGGAATCCTGGCTCTCAATTATCACTTGCTTTGTCTTGTGATACATACAGGAGCACAAGCGGTTAAGCACTTGACTACTAGTCGAAAGGTTGGCTGTTGGAAACCACCTACAGGTACCTTGGAAGAAATACCTGGCAACCTGCATCCAAAAGGTCACAGTCCTGTGAACCCTAAGAAGGCAGTCTGTGAAATACAGGATTATCTGTACTGAAATCAGCTTCATGTCCACTGGTTTGATTCTAGGCAAGTTATTAACCTTTAATCTTAGATTTTCTGACTCTCAAGTAGAATGCCTGGCCTCGTTGTTGAGAAAATGAGAACAGCCTCCTGTTGGAAAGTGCTCAGCGTGTGCTGAATAAATCCACCTGCTGCTGTGATCAAGGAGCCCTGGTGGTGCAGTAGAGTAAGCATAAGACAACTATCTTAAAGGCTGGTGGTTCAAATCCAACAGCCCCTTTGGAGGAAAAATATACGGCAGTCTATTCCCATAAAGAATTTCACCTTGGAAACCCTCTGGGGACGTTCTGTTTTGTCACACAGAGTCACTACGAGTCAGATTGACGACAGTGGGTTACTAGTGAGACCATGTTTTACTTCCTTAGGGCATGTGTGTGTCATACAACTTTTATTAGAATTTTACATTATCCTAAACCAAAAGAAAACATTACCTGTTTGATAAGAGGAAAAGAGTATCTAAAAGTTTTAATTTAATTTGTTCTCTGACCAATGAGGTTGAATATTTTTATATCCTTTCCTTTGTGAATTGTTTTGTGTTCTCTGCCCATTTCTAATGTGGGGATTAAAAAAAGCACTGCTTTCACTGCAATCTGTGTTTGACACCAACCTAATGAAAGGTTTAAACCCAGCCGGTGACATGAGGAAGAAAAGCCTGACACTCTCCTATAAAGATCACAGGTAGGTTCACTCCAGGGAGCAGTTCCATTCAATAACACATGAGGTCACCAGGGTTAGAATGGACTTGGTGGCAATGAATTTGGATTTTGTTTTATTGACTTGTAAGTGCACTTTGGAAGGAACCCAGGAGGTGCCACGACTAAACACTCATTTCCTTACTAAAAGGTCAATGATTTGGACCCACCGTCAACTCCTTGGAGGAACTAGATCTGGCTCTCTGCTCCCACAAAGATTTGTTGTGGTTCTTACATACAGTCTAATTGACTTTGATCATAGTCACCCTGTGAACAACAGATCTGAACCTTGCGGTGTCCTGTGCAATACTGTATCTGACAGTGGTTTTCTGTTATCCATAGGCCTTTGTAAGGCCTCTTATGTCAGAAGTGGATGGTTAATCCTGCTCCTTGCTCTTAGTCTGAAAACTGTGCTAAAATCTGTCCACCATGGATTACTGCTGATATTTGAGATACAGATAGCAAAGTTTCCATCATCACAAGAAGACACAAGTCTGTACCCACAAAGGTTTGCAGTGCTGATCTGTCATATAAGGTTGTTATGACACAGAATCCTCGGGACAGCTCTCAGCAACAACTTCACATTCAAGTCCTCGAGTATTACAAGTGATAATAAACTCAAGAGCTAACTGACAAGCTTGAGGCTAGGGGTTCAAGGCCACTCAGAGGTGCCTCAAAAGACAACCCTGGAGATTTGCTTCCAAAAATACAGCTACTGA